TCACGGGTTTTTATTAATTTATGCTATTTTGGATCTGTTGCAGACAGGTACTGGAGCATATCAAGACCATAATTTAGATGAAAACTCTGTTGAAGAGTCTATAATTGACCTGGCAGATTGTTCCTTCTATTCTGTGAAAGGTGGAAACGATACAGGAAGCCAAAACTCCAGAAAACTTTGCAAGGATGGTTGTGCAAGAGATGTTACCATTGCACTATTGAGAAAGGAAATAGAGTGTGCACTAGGAAACTTAAAAGAGGTGCAAGATGAGATGGCCAGACTCCATAAAGAGAAAAAGGAGATGTCAATGTCTGAAAAGCAGAGTCAGCAAAGCATCAAGTGCCTCACAACTGAGCTACTTGCCCTTCAAGTGGCTATGAGTGACTTTGAAGAACAATCCAAGATCAAAATTGAGGCACTGAGTGATCAAGTCAAAGAACTAGAAGAAACTCTGCAGGAAGATGGCCTTCATTGGCATCAAACGAAAGAGGTAATGATTTATGTTTAAAACCTAATTCTCAGTGCGAAACCTCTATTCCATCTTTTATTCTCTTCAATTCAACCGATGAAAATCCATTGCAATATCTTGTTGTCTTGTACTCTCCTACTTCAACCGAATAGATCAAAGATTGAATGATAAATGCTAGCTTTGAACAACTTTCTAAGCAGTCTTTACTCTTATCTTTTTGCAGTGGCTTGAACTGGAAGCTGGTGAGGCAAAGATCATTGCCACTCAGAAAGATGCAGAGGCTTTTTGTATTCTTGCCAAATTTGAAGAAGCCCAAGAAACAATTAAAGAAGCAGATGTCATTATCAATGAATTGATGATAGCTAATGAGTCAATGAAACATGATGTAGGAAGACTTACAGAAAAGGAAGTCATATTACTCAATGAGAAGGATCTGTTACTCGGAGAGAAAGAGAATCTACTATCAGTTATCAATATGAAGAATAAGGAGATAGAAGACATTGTCGAGTCAAATCTTATAGAGACAAAGAATATACTTGCGGTGGTTGATGATGTCATCAAGGAGTTCCAAACCATCGTGAAGGAAAATTTCATATCCATATGCTGTGATTTCCAGTGCATCAAGTCTCAGTTTTCATATTCAACTAAGCTACTACAATCATGGCTTGAAAATGTCTGGTCTGAAATTGTCGTTAAGGACTGTACTCTCTCTGTGTTGCATCTCTGTCACATTGGAATTCTGATAGAAACAATGACAGGGCTGCATACAGAGAATGGTCTGCTTTCACATGGCCTCTGCGAATCTAACTCCCTCATCGGTGACTTGAAAGAGCACAATTCTAAAACAAGAAAGGAACTGGAGATGTTCGGCATTCTGAAGAGAAAACTGCTTGCTGACATCAAGAACAGTTTTGATCGTGTTTCCAGCAAGGAAAAAGAAGCCAGTGAAATCACCATAAACTTGAACAGTTTTGAAAAGAAGATATCTGATCTACAGCTCCAGGAAGAAATGATGTTGCAAAGGTCTAAGGAAATGGAATCTCAACTTGCTGAATTGATAAGAGAATTGGACTTGAGTAACACAGATGTTGTGACCTCCCTTTTAGATCAAGAGAAAATACTTGAACAGAAAGTGGAGGTCCTTGAATCTCAAGCTGAATTTTTCATAGAAAGTTGGTACTGCAAAGACTTTGAGTCACTCATTTTTGCTTTGGAACTAGAAAATCTAGCCTGTCAGATAGTTGATAAAGAGGGTGATTTGATGATGTGTTCTAAGCTGAGTGAGCATTTGAAGAAAGAAGTAATTTGTTTCCAGCTAGAAGCAGAGTTTACATCACACATTTTAATGGACGTGGTAGTTGAAGTTTCTGTGCTAAAAGGTGAAATTCAACAGAAGGAAGTGGAGAAGAAGGACTTACTGTCAGAGCTGAACCAGAACGTCTTAAAGATTGCAGGGATGGGTGAACTGAACAAGTCCCTTCAACAACATATTGAGTTTCTAGAAGATGATGCTCGTTCAAATAATGCATTGAAGGGTGAACTTGGTAAAATCAAGGAAGACAAGATAAGACTGATGGAAAAGAATCTAGATCTGGAAGCTGAATATGACAAACTAGTTGAGAATCTTATCGAGAAGGATGTTACTTTAACCTTGTTTTGTCATCAGATTTCATTTCTTGATCAACAAAACAAAGAATTGCACAAAGTTAATCGTACGCTGGAAAATTCGTCTGGCAGACTTCAGAAAGAGTTGAAAATCAGGACTGAAAAGTTAGATAGACTGCACAGCTTGGGGGATGAGAATGAATTACTGAGACATGAGGTGGAAATTTTGAAGACTGGTAACGGCTTAGTTCTTCAATCCTTGGACAAGCGAATTTCTGATTTTAAACCACTGTCAAGGTGCCAGGATCTCTTTGACAAGGAAAATAGTTTGCTGCATGATTTTATAAGTTCTTTAGAGTTTCAAATTGGCAGTCTACAAACTGATCTGGAGACAGAAACTACAAAGCTGAGTGACATCCTCCATTCTCAATCTGTCACGATTGAAGAATTAAGCTTCAAATGCCAGGAATTTCAGAATTTTGTTGGCACTGTAAACGAATTGAAGGAGGAAAATGCATCTTTGCAAAAAAGAATTCGGCTGTATGAGAACATCCTGTTGAGTTTGGAAGCCGTCAGATCAGTTGATTTGGTGAAAACTTTCGAGATGAAGGTTGCCAGATTATCTGAGACATTGAAAGAAGAAAGTCTTATAATGACAGACAATATGATTCGTGGCCTTTGTGAAAATGTGGAGATGGCATCTAAATTCATTAAACAATTTGAATCCCTGGAGTTCCATGCTAAAGAACTGGCAGCAACTAGTTCAACTCTCCAGGCTGAGTTATCCAGAAAGGATGATGTAATTAAAGGGTTACTATATGACCTGAGCTTACTGCAGGAATCTGCATCTGAATGTAAGGATCACAAAGATGAAATTGAGGAAATGGGAGCTACTATAGAAACATTAGAAGATGGTCTTGCCGTTAAATCAGGTGAGCTTGCTGCTGCAGTTGCTAACTGTCAAATGTTGGAAGCACAGTTGCAGGACAAATCGGATATTATTGGAATTCTTGAATTGAATCTCTCAAGAGAACAGGAGTCTGTGAAATTGCTAGTCAGTGAAAATTGGGAACTTAAAGATCATATTGAACATGCCTTTACAGCTAAAAAAAAGGCAGAAGATGAGCTAACCGAGAAAGGAAAGCTAGCGGAGAGCTTAGAAAATGAAATCTCGGAAATGAGCAGTGCTCTCATCCAAATGAATGAACTCACAACTGAGAGGGATCAGCTTCAACTGCAGGTGCTTAGCCTAAAAGAAAAGCTTGAAAAAGCTAAAGCAGAAGTTGAAGAAAATGAAGCGATCGCTCAAGAAGCTCAGCAGGTAACGCTTTATTGATAAACTTGGTCTGTATTGCCACGTCTTAAGTAGTCGATGAATTTATACCCTGAGCAGTTTTAACGAGTGGATAACTAAATTCCCATATAAACTGATATAGCAAGCATTTCCATCTATTTTCCTTCATTTTCAAGTGGCAGCATCTAATTTCGGGACAGAAGTTGAGAATCTTTAAATTCTTTCTTCCTTTCTTTTTTAAATTTATTGTTTTTTTTGGATCCTACACTAGCGGTACGGTAAAATGCTCAGCAGTGTAGCATTCAGAGGAAAATTTGTTGCTTATCTGAAAATTGTTTCAATAATCGTAGGTGGCAGAATCAAGGAAGGTCTATGCTGAGGAGAAGGAAGCGGAGGTGAAACTCTTAGAGCGCTCAGTTGAAGAGTTGGAGTGTACCATAAATGTCCTAGAAAACAAGGTGAGATTGTTTTGCTTTTATATCATCTTCAGGAAGCTTGTCTATCTCTATAGACATCAAAATTCAAAATGCTTTGGTCAGGTTGACATAGTAAAGGGGGAAGCAGAACGACAGCGGCTGCAAAGAGAAGAGCTGGAGCTTCATGCTGTCAAACATCAGATGCAAAACATTAGAAATGCTGATGCTGACATGAGAAGGTTTATACCAGCTAATGCTATTCTACTAGTTTCGTTATATTAGTCATTCACATAGGGGAGGACATATCGAGAACTGTGGTTCTAATTTATAGATGTTTAAGATATTGCTGTTTCTTTTTCCCTGCAGGCTTTTGGACGAAAAGAATAAAAGCCTTGAAGAAGCCCTAGCTCATATACAAGTTCTTAAAAGAGATTTAGCGGGAAAAGATTCAGAGGTGGGACTTCATACTAACTAATGAGGGCTATGATCTAATCTTCCGATAGAAGATTAAATTTCAAAGTCATGTTGGCTGAAATTAGTTCACAAATGGTTTGATTCGTTCATTTTCCGTGTTTCTCTTACAGATTGCCCAGATGAAAGCTCATATTTCAGAGCTGAATTTGTACGCAGAAGCACAGGCAAAAGAGTACATGCAGAAGGTGATCAACTATCCCGATTATGCCCCAGAATTCAATCTTGCATTCTTTTTCTCTTGTGCAATTAATATATGAAATTGTATCAAAAATTGAGTCTGACGGCAAACGATTTTCTGCATAATTTTAATACAGAAGCAACAAAACTCAAAGAGCCAAATAATCAAACACAAATAAATCAGAAAAAGAATCATTCAATCACCCACTATCACAGACTCAAGAAAGTGCTTAAAAAACCGACACTCACTAACCAACCTTGACTAAGCAAAAGACTATAGTTGATTCAAGGAAAATTATATTGACATGGAACGTAATTCAAAGCAGTTCAAAGCACTAGAAGCTATGGCCGAGCAAGTAAAGCCTGAAGGCGGCTTATCCACCTATTCATGTACTTCATCAAACAAGTCCGACAAGAATGCAACCAAGTCTCGAGGTTCAGGTTCACCTTTCAAATGCATTGGGTTGGGCTTGGCACAACAGATAAAATCTGAAAAGGTTGAGGAGCTAGCCGCTGCAAGAACCCGTATTGAAGAGTTAGAATCCCTGGCTGTATGCCGACAGAAAGAGGTAATCTTTTCTTTCTTTTAATAACATGTTCTGCAGTAAAATCTCGGTTGACGTTCTTTAACGTGCCGCTTTCTTCTCTTTTTCCAGATATTTTCGCTCAATGCTAAACTAGCAGCTGCTGAGAGCATGACCCATGATGTAATTCGAGACTTACTCGGAGTGAAGTTGGATATGACCACTTACGTGGTAAGATCTTACGACTTGTTGTTTGTTGCTACTCGAGCATTTCTTGTGTCGAAGAGAGTTGTGGACCGAAATTGGATCTGGTGCGCACCTCTCTTCCACACTCCCAGCTCTCCATGATATGATATGAGGAATAATGCATGTAAAAAATTTTTAGAAGATGAAGATAATAAAGTATTCATAAAAGAGAATTTAGAACTTACCCAATCGTGCTCATTTTTATTTTTACCTTGTTCATGCAGTCACTATTGGATAATCAGCAAGTGCAGAAGATAACAGAGAAAGCTCAATGTCATGCTTTATATTCTCAAGAGAAGGTTGGATCATAAGTAGTTAGCATAGTCTGCGTTTTGGTAATTCTTGAAATAGGTTGGATCATAATCCTTCTTAAAAGTTGTTAACATGAACTGCATTCAGGAAGAGGAGGTTATTAAACTAAAGAAGCAGCTGAATGAATTTATTGAAGAGAGGCAAGGGTAATCAACTTTCAGATTTCAAATTATCTTTCCTTTCTTTTAGTACACATGTAACTGCGCGCTCATGAATAAAGTTTTTAAGACTCTTAAACCTTTGTTTAATAGGTGGCTGCACGAAGTGGATCGGAAACAAGCCGAATTGGTGGCTGCACAAATTGCAATGGAGAAGCTTCGGCAACGGGACCATTCACTGAAAACTGAAAATGAAATTTTAAAGGTAGAACATTAGATACTACTCTTTCTTATTAATTTCAAATTGGTTGCCTTAACTTCCCTCGTTTCATGCAGATGGAGAATGTGAATAACAAGAGCAAAGTACTGGAAATGGAAGAGGAAATCAGGAAGCTGTCTGGTCAACAGAACCTTCAGCAGCGCATTCATCATCATGCTAAGATAAAGGCAAGATTTTATCATTTCACTCATCTCAGGTAGAAGCGGGGGTGTTGTGAACCAATATTAGCAAGCTGCAGTAATTATTGGGATTCTAGTGAAGGATTATTTACAAGAAGTCAAGAACTTTCAGCTCCGTATGGGATTTGCCGCATTTTAAATTTAACTATTGCCATGAACATCTGCATTCTGCGAAGTTCGTCTGAGAACGAGAAAATTGAGAGGAAGAGATTTCATTGAAGCCTTTCATAATTTTAAGATTTCCCCATGCGAATTTCCTCTCCTATTCCCATTTTCTTGTATCCCTTCCTCCTACTTCCGTGTAACTCCCAAGCAGGCCTTAATATTGCTGTAAATAAAATACCTTTGAAATTGACCTGGGACTTTCTTCGAATGATTTAACAGGAGGAAAACAACAAGTTGAAGATACAGAATGAAGAACTCAGTACAAAGCTACGAAGATCAGAGATATTCCTTTCACGTGTCAAAGAGGAACTTTCAAGCCTCCGTGTTTCTGCTGGGATTAATCCATGTATTGATTTTGAGGAGGAGCAACGCTTGATGGTAAAATTGAAGGTTGGCGTCTAAAGAAAATTTATCATCAATAGATACAAGTTTTTTTTTTTTTTTTTTTATTGTTTTGGTTGACATCACTTAACAAAAAAACAAGTTGGAAGTTGTTAATATTTGAGTGAATATTGCCCCAGGGAATCGAGGAAGAGAAAATGCTGTTTGCGCAACAGCTACTGAGGTTGTGTACTAATGTTCTAAAGGTAAGTATTGGTTTTTGGTCCTAAACAAATTATGATATGCATAAATTGTTGAAGTTTTGAAAATAAAGCAATTCAATTAACAATAATAATCATGATTGTTCAAAATTCGAGCATTAATTAACAAAAAGGGAATCGATTCATTATATGTTCGATAAAGAAATAAATGGATTTAAAGATGTTATAGAACAAATTTAGATGAGATAGAAGTTTATTTGATATTTTCTAACAAATATATTTAAAAAAAAATCTGGAATACATCGTGATTCTATGGCTTGAAATTTGTTGAATCCCACATACGACAGGATCCTGGCCCTCATTTCATGCTTTGTTTTTCAGGCTGCTGGAATAACAAAACCAGCATCAGATATAAACCCCTCAATGGCTGAAAAGGCCTTAGAGGAGCTCAAGAATAGGATAGCATCTCTGGAATTGGAAAAGCAAGATTTGAAGTATAAGGTATGTTCAGGCTACATACATACCTATTGTAGATCTAAATACGAAGCGTCATGAAAAGAATTAACGTGAAGAATGCTGACTCCTTTGACAGAACAAAATTATAAAGGAAAAGATCAAATTATCTGAACTCATGCCACAAACTTCATCGTTGAACTCCAGAACTGAGGAGAATCGTGTAACTCCCCCAAGGGTATCTCAGTCTCCATTTCTTTCCAGTTTTGATCGATAATGAGGATGACTTTTGTTAGCTTTCACCTTTCAGATAGTAGCTCGTACTTCACGTTGGTCCTGATCTGTAAATCAAGATTTTTTTTTTTTTGGGTTATTTTGTACCAATTATTATTTCTCATATAATGATGTAAATAATTTATAGATTGTACAGTTCAACAAGATATGGCATGGTATCAATTATACAAAGCACACAGATGCCGGGAGATCCTTCAAGAGTTTCATGATCAACCCTAGCCTTCTTGCAGGTTGCGGGTTGCCTCGTAATTTAAAGTTTCAAAATTGAGTTTTCAAAATTAAAGTTTCACTTAGCAAGTCTCGCCAGAATGTTTGCGTTTGGACTAATGTAAAATTTTTTGCATAGGATATATTTGAATTTAATAAATAATATATAATAAAATAAAAGGATCTGTAAATTTTATCAGGCTTTTTGAGTGCAACTGTTTGTGGAGAAATTTTTAGATAGATTTAATACATTTTGTAATTTATGATCCATTCGATAAAAATATAACATTTCAATAACATTAAATATAAATTAATTTTGAGATTAATAATCATAGAGGCAAGAAATTAAATATTGTATTATAAAAATAAATTCAAAAAATGATAACAAATAAAATTTTATTTGATTAAATTAACATAATGTGTATTCATTTAAAAATTTAAGGGATTTTTAATTGAATCTTTCTTCTTAATAAGGTAATTACTTATTTTTTAACCAATTCTATCTTTTTATATTTACTTTTATTAAATACCTTATAATAAATATAAAGTCATTATTAATAGAAAAACTTTAAAAAAATAAAAATTATTTTTAAAAAAATTTAAAATATTTTATATTTTTTTTAAATGGAGAGAATATACTATATCAATTTAAAAACTTCTCACCCTGTGTCATGTGTGATGAGACTTGCACTTCTTTTTAATACCAAATGTTTGATATCCTGGAAAACCGTGATGAGATTGACTCTTTATTTTAGTGGGTGAGAATCATGAACACTTTTTCGAGCCTCTGAATAGAGATATTTTAAGTATACATTATCAAATATAGAATGAAATCATGTATTATATACTAGTAATATTTATTTTTTAGCCTTTGAGACTAATTCCATGAGATTTTAGTATTATTTAAAGAGTTATTCATTTCAAGAGGTGTTTTTTTATACACATTTCTAATAATTAAATTTAAAATTATATTTAAAAGGTTTAAATTATGACTCATTATAGTATAATTTTTTAATTTTTGACTCAATCCTTTAATTTATGTTTGTTTTTTTATATAAGTTTAAAAAAATAAGAATTAAGTTATAAATAAATTAAAAATTAAAAAATTAAATTATAATAAATTATAATTAAAAAATTAAATTATAAATAAGTTAAAAGTTAAAGTATTAAACGGTTAATTGTTTTAATAAAAAAAATCTACAATGACCAAAACATTAAATAATGAAAAACCCCTGGACTGGGGGATGTTGACATTCTTCCCTGTCGCTTTTGCTGGCGCGGTGGTCCAAGATTCAGTGGTAAGCTGCCACTTCGCCCCTAACTTACACAAGATGGCAGCCGAGACTGAGACTAGGGGGTGTGGGTCATTGATGCTCACCGATCAAATGCGAAAAGCATAAGACTTTGCAGCAGCTTGAAATCTCACTATATCTTCACCCTTAAAATAAAGCTTCCACATTGCCAAGAATCTCTCTGATTCCCTGGTAAGATGGCTTCTTGTGTTTTTACATCTTTGCGCAATGGATGACAATTACTTGAAGCTAATTCTCTAGTTCAAAACTTCGTAGCTGGCCGTTATAATGAGCGCTAGGGCTTTCAGTTCTATTTGTTTTGACCGAGGCTACTCGTGGAAGGTATTTCTCTGGCTTTGTGACAATCAAGTTTTACATTTTTGTCGTGTTATTACTGTATTGTTGATTGTTAACTCTGGGACTTGTATTCATCCTGCCGACTGCCGAGTTCCAATTTTTTTACATAGCTGGGTGCTTTTATTGGTGAGCTCATGAGTAAGTTGCTGAAAATGGCTAAGTCCTTTGCTCGTTAGTCCTTTTGACATGTTCCAAAGGCTGAAGCATTTTGTTATTTATAGAAACAAACGCATGTAACTCACCCATTCTCAAAGGCTGAAGCTTCGTAGACTTAATAATTTCAAAGACCAAAAAGTTAGCATCTCCTTGTCTTACTTTTATCCGTACTCAAATTGTGATCTCGTGTGAGTTGTTTAGGTGGAGAAGATATCCAATTTGAGGAAGCAACAAAAGGGCAAACCATTTGTTAAATGTTCATTCAAGTCTAGTAACCATACTTCACAAAGTACAGTTCGTATTGGTGTTCTTGGAGCTAGTGGCTACACTGGTGCCGAGGTGAATTGAGTGGCAAACACACCCTTAAGGCCTTAACACAGTTTCTCCATTGTTTTGTGTTTCACTATTAGTTCAGACCTTGGAATAGGAGGTTGTGAACTATGGATGCTATTGTGTTAGGTTCTTCGGCTTTTGGCAAATCACCCACACTTTGAGGTTACTCTAATGACAGCTGATAGGAAAGCTGGCCAGCCAATTGCATCTGTCTTCCCTCATTTGGCTACACAGGCATGTCAAACTTCATGTGTATTATATAATTAGGAAGATAGTTTTCTTACTTTTAGCTATACTTATCAAATGTATGGAATGCTTTCTCTTTTATAATTTAATCCATTTTCTATATAATTTTACTTTTGCAATGCCCATGTCATGGCCTTATAAGGAGATATATGTTCATTATTTGTTTCATGAATTACAAACTCTGACTCACTCATATATGCAGAATTTGCCAGATTTAGTTGCGGTTAAGGATGCAAACTTTTCTGATGTTGATGCTGTATTCTGTTGTTTGCCACATGGAACCACTCAGGTTCATTCTTATGACTCTTGATGTTTTGTTCCTTGATTTGAAAAACAAAATACTATATTTTGCTTACCTTCTCAGAAAAAATGCACACGTTAAGGAGAGAGTTTCAGTTGTCTTTGCATTTTTCTTTATCAATCCTGAGTTTTGACTTATTTTTTAATTTCCAGGAAATAATTAAAGCCCTTCCCGTGCACTTGAAGATTGTTGATCTATCTGCTGTATGCAAATAACACTATTATGATTTTGATAATTTCTTTTGATTCTAAAACAAATAAAATATAGTTCATTATAATTGTAAATGAGATATTTTGTAGGACTTCCGCCTACGAGATATATCTGATTATGAAGAGTGGTATGGTCAGCCACACAAGGCACCGGATTTGCAGGTGAATCTCTTTTTTGTCCTGGGATGTAGCAGTAATTTGTTGATGTTTTTGTCAGTAAACCAATAATTTTGAATGCTCTTCATTGACAATCTCACTAGCATACTCTCAAACTTCTTGTAATGCATATATCTGAGGACATGGAGTTCCCTCTTTAAAATTTAACTTGTCATTTTTTCCTTGTATCTGAAGATTGTAAGTTTTTATGTTAATAGTTTTCCAATAGAGTGGTAAGTTTTGAAAATTCATATGAAATTATTATTAATGCCCATCACTCTTGCCTTGGTTTTCATGCTGAATGATATTTAATCATTTGTTTCTAGAAAGAAGCTGTCTATGGATTGACAGAGATTCTAAGGAAGGAAATCAAAAATGCCCGCCTAGTCGCTAACCCAGGTTGTTATCCAACATCCATTCAACTTCCTCTTGTCCCACTGATAAAGGTTAGAATTCTTACTATGCATTTTAGTCTATATTGCGTGCTAGAATGTCTTCAATTTGTCCAGTATATTTGTTTTATAGTGTCTCTTCAAATCAATAATCAGGTAGATAAATGATCTATACAGTAAGTTGGTAATTAGTTACACAGTTAGGCTGGCTTCCAATGCTTTAGAACTTTTATAGTATCCATTTGTCTATGCACTGTTGCTCAATTTGATGGGATGGGGTGTTAAGTTTAGTTGTGATGTACTAATCAAGTGGACTTATTGTTGATTGACTGACAAGGTTTAGGATAGATTTAAAAAAAAAAAAAAGCAAAGCAGAGACTTATGGATATGTGCATTATTTCCTGTAAACCAGTATCTGTGGATTATGGACGGAAATTACTTACAGTCAAAGATTTAGTCTTACTTTACTGTGGGAAAAGAGATTTCCACACTGCTCCCCCTTGGAGTTCAGCACATGGTTTATTTTTTGGGCATGCCTCTTGATATAACAGAGAAATTGATTGCAGTTAATTTTACTCTGAATATTTAGTGCAAAAGCTGTCTTCCATGAGTGGGTATAGTTACCAAATCTTTTCTTTTCCATGAATTTTATTCTATTCGTGGATACACTATTTTATTGTTCGAGGAAAATTATCTTCTAAATATTTACAGTTGACTCTTATTCGATGATATGAAGAACTGCTTAGCAAAAGAATAAATGAATGAATGCATAAAAAGGAAGATAAGAGGTATGTTGTCATCAATATAGTTTGCATCAAAAGGCAAGACATGTTTATTATATAACACCATTTTTAGCAATGGGTGCAAGGTGCATCTACCAATTACTGCATATGTGATGAAGACTTGGTAGCATGGGATATCAAGTCGTATATTTAGTAGTATGAGATGCTGAATGAGTATATAAGTGGGTTCCCCGTCCAGCTTGGGTACCCATCAATTGGTATTAGAGCCTTGTTGTTAGAGGTTTCGGAGAGGTCTACCTACGGAGGGTTTTGACTGGAAGGAGGCCTAGTTAAGTGTCGTGGAGTGTAACCATCAGGACGTCAGCTTTTCATGGGGGGCCAATTGATGGAGACTTGGTAGTATCGGATACCCAATCTCACATTGAGTAGTATGAGATGCTTAATGGGGTATGTAAGTGGGTTGGCTCTCCCACCTCAACAGCCAACTTTTGGGGTAGAGTTCTCCATCCCACACGGGCACCCATCAATATGCCTTTCAACTCTTCAATTGAAGTATGAGTTACTGAAATGAACACATTTTTAGTAATGTGTGTTTAGTGCTCTAGATATAGCTTCTTTTTTTTTTCTTATTTTGAACAAGATAACCTGTGCAGTTTCAAGTGTTTTATTTTCTTTGGGTTGCAGGCTAATCTTATTGAGACTAAAAATGTTATTATTGATGCAAAATCTGGTGTTAGTGGGGCAGGTTAGTATTTTAAGGCACCTCTTATATTTTTGTTAACAATGACAGTCTAATGTCCGCGGTGTTTCTACTCTTTGGCTCATTGTTGCAGGGCGTAGTGTCAGGGAGAATTTATTATTTACAGAAGTAGCTGAAGGTATCAATTCATATGGTGTTACCCGACATCGCCATGGTGAGTTCATTCTATATGTTTAAATAGGATTTGTGCATTTTATATTTTACTTAGCCTAACCAATCATTAAATTGAAGGAATCCAAATTTTTCAAAAGTTCTTAGCTGCTATCCATAAATCTCACTACTGTCATGCTGGATCTTTGTGATCTTTCACTTGCACTTTTGCACATTTTAAGCCTCAATGATCAAGCATGATATATGTGATGATACAGTAAACCGTAGGTTGCATTACAGCATTAGGCTACTGAGCTACTAGCATTTGGGGAGAGGGCAAACAGCTAGTGTTAGTTCTGACGTGGTATGTCCATCGAAAACCTCTCATTTTGTGACCCCAATGTCAAGAATGGTCAAGACAAATTATTGATCAACTAACCTAGTTCTACATTAGGGGGTCTAACTTGGCCCGCTAGCAACTCTAAGATATTAACCATAACTTGTAGTTGGCAGGCATCAAACAGTGAAATTCAAACATAAATTATGGAAAGTGTCTTATGCGCCTCATTGACATTAAAACTGTTGTGGAAATATCTTCACTTTTATTGCTCTTTATTCGTCTAGATAAGATTAGTGACTTACAAGCAAGTTGGACATAATTAACTTTTATGGCCTAACTTGAGGGGAGTGAGGAAATATCTTTACTTTTATCACTCTTTAGTCACCTAAATAAGACTAGTGGCTCACAGCTGAGTTTACAGCATTTATTAGCATGTGTTTTCTGTTTTACTTCCCTTTGTGTGTGTGTGTGTATAAATACTTGTATATTCCTTGTTAGATCAATGCAATTAATTATTCTTTCCCACAAAAAGTTGAACCGATGACCTCTTTCCCATGTGAACAACATGGAATTGAGACTTGTGCCTTTAAACTCCTACCCTAGTTGTTAGGGCCTACAAATTTTAGCTTTTGTGATAAATGTCATTGATAGCATTCCGTAACCTCTTATCACCTATAATAAGAAGCCTGGAAGGGAGTATGGAATAGAGATAATTTCTGATCAACTTGGGATAAGAGATGTTCTTATGGATGAGAGGGTGGAGCTGGGAAGCACGGATACGTGCAAAATGCTGCCGTGTCCATGTCGGATATGTATTCGACACAGACACACGTTTAGGATGTGGAAGTGGCACGTCCGCTTTTCCGGTTTCAGTCTGACACGGGCAGAGATGGGTTGTAATCAGAACTCAGCATTTTGGCCTTTTTTTCCCCTCATTTCCAGAAATCAGAAGCCCTAAGCTTCATCCAATTCCAGTCAATCCTTTCCCCTTTCTCATGTGAGCTTCGCTTTGTCTCTCCAAGGTTCGAGCGTCATCCTTCTTCAGTCACGGCTCACAGTGCTTCTTCAGTAACGGGTCACGGCTCTCTGTCTCTTCAATCACTCTGAGCTTTGTCGCTTCAGTCATAGTGCTTCTTCAGTCAAGGCGCTCTGTCGCTTAAGCCCGTGATTCCTCGCTCTATCTCTCCGAGTTTGAGGTAAGTTCTTCTTCATCTTCTTCTCCAGCGCTGTTCTTCTTCATCTTCTTCAGCGCTCTGTCACTTTTGGTGATGGGCATTCTCATATATTCAAGATTTCAAGTCCTTGCGGCTTCTTCTTCAAGCCCTCGGTGCTGTTCTTTTAAAACAATATTTTTTAAATGTTACTTTTTAAAAAAAAAATATCCATGCTTCCTAAAATATTACTGACCTATTGATTGTCAATCTAATAATGTTGCTGATTTTTTTTTAATCTTAGATGGATTATTTTACTGAGTTGAACATTGATCTGTGTAGTGGAGAGAGAACTTATAGGAGAGAGTAGTAGTGTCAATAAATTTGAAAAAGATGAGAACTAATTTAAGTTGATCATTATCTTTTGTCATTTGGTAGTGCTTAACTGCTTATCATATTGTATTTTGTGATGGCATTAGACATTTTAAAATTGTACTTGTTGACTTTAAATATGGAATTATAAAATTGAAAATCTGTGTGTATCTAAATATTTAATATTTAATTATTTAATATGTGATAATATTTAAAATTTTTGAAAATTTCTGTGTCCGCGTATCGTGCGGTATCGTATTCGATACTCATACCCATATCACTGCTTCATAGGGGTGGAGGTATAGTTCGTAGGTTTTCTGTTTATGTTGTTAGTTAAGCATTTGTATGTTTATTTTCAGAATAGAGTCAGTTATGTTATTTTGTGATGTGGCAGATGGTAGGATGTCTTATGTACATGCAGCACATGCTAGAATTTCTGTGTGTTGCAGATGGATTTAGTCAGCTATTGCCCTGGGTTGTTATAAGGAATCTTTCATAGCACTTGTATGTTTTTTTGTTTTTTGGTCAAATGTTTTTTTGTTTTTCGGATGACATCAATAAAGCAATTGATATATGGCAGAAATATTCAATTCTATGGAGATTCTCCAACTAAGATTCAGATTCTAACAAGAATTTTAGTAGCTCTAACAAGACAGTCCACTAAATGGTTTGAAACAAATTCTTCACTGTGAATTCCAGTTCCAGAAACTGAACAAGGACTCTCAGATGCTGCACGCTCAAGAATAACCATTAGTTTTACCCCTCACCTAATTCCAATGGTAAGAGTTGCTCGCAGGATTCTGTGTTATATAAATATATATATATATATATATATGTTTTCCCACTTTCCGATGAAACTTATGAGTATATCACTGCTGCCATCTAGTAGATCCGTGGTATGCAATCAACTATGTATGTGGAAGTGGCTCCAGGAGCGAGTATTGAAGACTTGCAACAGCAGCTAAAGCAATTCTATGAGGTTTGCCTTTATTTATCCATCACTTCTTATCACTACAAATTGACAAGCATGTAAATTATAGAGTCCTAGCGTTGATGAATCTTCATTTTTTTAATCAAAAAAATCCCATCATTGAACTTTGCCTAGAAATAATCCGAGATCTGCTCAATATTACTGATAGCAGAATAGCATAACATCTCTAGGCCTTAAGCCCTTTTATTTATATACTAGCTATACCTTAACGTTATAACTCCCAAATCCTAACTAACTTACCTAACTCTCATTTAATATATTATTTACACAACACACTACCTCTAACCTGGTTTAAAGTAGCTGTGAAATGTGCTTAACTTTATGAAGCATGGGCTTACTATCGCCTTCATCCGTCTGGTTTGGATGATATCTCAACTTCAATTTTTGTCGTTTCTTGACTTCCTCTTCCGCTGCTTGGTGCTTGCAGGATGAAGAATTTGTTTTGGTGTTGGAAAATGGAGTCATGCCTCGAACTCATAGTGTTAGAGGAACTAATTACTGTTTGATCAATGTTTTTCCTGACCGAATTCCTGGGAGAGCAATCATTATATCTGTAGTGAGTTTGTTTTTCTGTGTAATTCTTCTTCATGTGTAATTTTAATTTGCTCATTTGTATCGTCATAGCCTTGGACCTTGGCTCTAACCATGTCTTTATGCTTGTTGGAGATTGATAATCTAGTAAAGGGAGCTTCAGGTCAAGCTCTGCAGAACCTCAATGCGATGATGGGATTTCCAGAAAATTTGGGTCTTCATTACCAGCCTTTGTTTCCATAGTGTAATACTAACAATCTTATCCATGATTTAGCCCAAGATTTTGATTATAAGCCTTGTTATTCTTTGCCAACCATTTTTTGGGGAAACTTTGAAGTAGCCTATTTTCATATTTGCCTCCACTGATTGATGCAGGCATGCAGCTAATGATGAGGACAGAATATTTAGACCGAAGTTTCAGCTGGATGGACTAATGGAAATACATTGTTCAAATTATGTATTTTTCAACAATATGTAATTTTCATGATTCTTCTTGAATTTGGAGAGGGAATTGGTAGGACACGAATGTTAGCAGAGCCAATTCCATCCTGAGTTTTTTTTTTTTTTAGTGACTTGTAATGTAATGTAATGTTATTATGATGGGTTTTAGGATTTGTGGATTAAGAATATTTATCATCATGTTGCTTTTTTGTTTTGCATTAAGATATTTATGAAATTTCAATTGCATAACAGGTTTAGCGGAATGGGCTAGTACTTCATAATATAATGAATTAAAGTTTAAATTTTCATTGCAAGAGGTGTCAACAATTAATGTTCAATTATACCTAGAAAAAGATTACTCATGAGCAATAAAAATAATATTAAGGTCAGAGGGAAAAAAAAAAAGTACTATGTTGTTGAATGTAAATATTGATTTTTAATTGTTAAAATTATTTAGGTAAAATTGCCATAAAATTCCATTTTGGGAGGAAAATTGTTTAGGGGGACTAAAATCAGTTTAAGGATAGATTTATCATATTGCATCTCAAACTCATGACCTCACATCTCAAGCTTATGACCTTACATATCAAGCCTATTATCTTGCACATTTTTTATGGAAATGGAACCTATTATTCTAAAAGTAATGATCTACAACAAAATAATAACATAGATAATATATTATTATCATCACAACAGTGTAAATTACATGGGATTTTTGAATGCTAGCATATAACTTTGTTGTGTAAGGCGATAGGCTTAGCTTGCATTTAGTCGTTAAATTGGTTTTGGTCCTTCAAAATAATTTCCATCTAAGGAGAGATTTTATGGTAATTTTCCTAATTACTTAAGTCAATAATTAGATATTTTTATGAAAAATCATATTGTAAATATGAAATGACAAAGGAAAGTGCTCCATGATTGGCATATTGAGATGATGGTAAACTGGAGGGGCTTGTAGGGCTCAATGTTCAAGCCTCAAATTTTATTGAGAAAAAATTATCATTTATTCTTAGCATTTGAAAAGAGATTAATCTTTGGAACTAGTTAAAGAAGGATTTAGAAGGCAATATGACTTCTAAATTATAAGTCTAGAAGTATTTGACATTCTAAATTCATTTTTGGTATAATATTATCCTACTATTAATATAACTTTAATAATTAATAATCAAAAAATGACAAAAAATAGCATCAAAAATTACCAACAAAAAAAAGAATCCAACAATAATAGACATTGATCCAAAAATTATAAAAAAGAATCCAAAAATTATTAAAAAATTTATTGGTCTATTTATGTAATTAGGTTAAGATTTAATTTTACTTCTATACTTACTTTTTAAGAGTGCTGGCATCTTATACTTTTATGTGAGATAATTTTTTGGCTAAAGTAATTTTTCAAGGATAAAAAATTCCTTTCTGTTACAAATCCGTTATCTTCATCATTAGTTCCTTATGTGGAGGAGTTGTGTACCCATGTAATGACAGCAAAGTCCCTTGCTCGTTTTGACTATATGACTTCTTTATTGCCCTTGGGGCAAGCCGACGAGGTCATTACTGAAGCCATCTACGAGCTCTTCAACCCCCGTGTCTCTTCCTCTTCAGCTTCTGAGTTCATCCTTCCTTTGTAGTTTCCTCCAAGTTCGTTCACAATGTTGTCTACTACTACTACTTCAGTTCCTTCTCTCCTTGTCGATCTCTAGATCCAACACCCACTTGAAAATCCCAAGTCTTCGTCTTCTTGTCTCCCATACCTCCGTTGATTTGCCTCCTCATTACTGCAACTTTGTTTGTTCAAAATGATGGCAGCAATCATTTTGCTTTGAACTTGTGATCATCTCTTGTTGTGGGTTTCATTTTATCTCTCATCCCTTGGTTAATTTCCTGCCTTCATGCTGTGGTTGGCAAGAGGAGAAAGTAGGAGGAAGGAAAAAGTAAGAAAGAAGAGTAGAGAGAAATGTCATTTTCTCCTGTTTGGTTAAGGAAAGAAAAATGAGGAGAGGAGGAAACTAGGTGAAAAATGACACACGAGACTCACATATTTTTATTTTCAACTTTTTTTTTTAAATATAGAAAATTTTTGGAGAGAAAACTCAATTTTCAAATTTGTTCATGAATTTTTTTTTGTTTCCTCATATTGCCTTCCTCTATTTTCATCCTAATTTTTCCTCCACTTTAGAATTTAGATTATTATATATTTAATGATTTAAGAAATAAACATTAAAATTGGACAAAATAAGTTTTTTGTTAGCATCAAGTAAAAGAATTTACAATTATATTTTTATTTAATCAATAAGGTATAATAAAAATTATATAAATAATATGTTAAAATATTAAAATTTATTATATACAAATATTTTTTTATAAATAATAAGGTTATTATTGTCTATATGAAATTAACAATTTTTCTTTCCTCCCATTTTCTCTTACTCAACCAAGTATGGGGAAGAAAAATTATGTCTCCTCACTTTTCTCTTCTTTCTAACCAAGTATGGGGAAGAAAATTATGTCTCCTCACTTTTCTCTTCTTTCTATTTTCTCTTTCCCTTATTTTTCCTTGTGAGTCAAGCACAATGTAAGTATAATCCTATAAGAAAGAAACTTGATACTCGTTTCCCTATCATAAGTTAATTATGCTTCTCTTCATAAATTTCTTTTTTTTTTGGCTTTTAGATTGTGCAATGTTGTTTGACAGCTGGAAAATCTATTGAAAAAGCAATAAGCTCTGTAATTCGAAGTGGTTTGGAAAATTTGAACATTGTGGGCTAAGTTATTGTCCAAATAGTTCCTCCAACTACTACTCAATGATGGCTCAGAAATATTTAGATGAAAAAGGCTAGATATTTTTTTTATTTTAGAAAAGCTATGTGAAGAAAGGCTTTGAACTTATTCTACGGGCAGTTTCACCCTCTAAAGTTTGCCGTCAGCCATGTTTGAGTTCCTGTTAACCTCAAAGTTCGAATGGCTTTTGGAGCACTTTGCCCAGATTGAAATGAATGGGTCAAAAAAATAAGATGTCACATCAGAGGATGAAAGAGGGTCAACGTTTACAGATTGGGTGCCAAGTCAAAAGGTGTCAATAAACTGCTTTCTAATAGAAAGATAATTTTGACCCTCTAAAAAATAGTTTAAAAAAAAAATTACAACATTTACTAGTATAGATATAAAATATTTCTAAAAATAAATACAAAGATAAAATTAAACTTTAATCCTATATAATTTTTTAGATTTTTTTAAAATTATTTTCTAATTACCTAACTGTCAAAATTAATTTTTATTAATAATAAAAGTGACATTGCATTATTTTTAAAAGTTTAAGAAAAATAATGCACCAAAAAATGAGTTTGAAATTCCAAATATTTCTAGACATATGATTGAGGGGATAAATTGTCATTTAACCCACAACAAATTTTATTTACTCGTATTAAAAAAAGTGATAAAAATAATTTTATAAATACTTTTTTATGTTTATGATGAGATATTGTTAAATCTTTCATCCGGTCTTTCCTATAACCAAAAAATGACAATTAACTCATTAAATATAGGAAAATTGATAGTAAAATTTTACCAAAATATATAAATGATAATCATGCTTCTTGAAATATTAAAATTCCTTTAAATTCATTGGGAACCTTTTATGACCTTAATGATTTTTAAGTTAAATAATTAAATCACCCCTTGTTTAAAATAAAAATAATGGGTCTAGCTCTATTTTTTCAATCACAATTTTTATTTAAGCAATCATAACATTTGTTATGTAAATCACAAAAATTAAATAAAGAATCATAACTTTTTACATGAAATTTCTTTGATAATTAATAAACAAGTTTTAAAAATAACTAACCTCAATCACAACTTTTGTTTAAATAATTACAACTTTAATTCTGTAAATTATAAAAGTTGAAAAAGAAATTACAACTTCTCTAAAAACAAAATTTATCATTGAAGTCTAAGTTTTATAAATAATCAATCACAACTTTTATTTAAAAAATTATAATTTTTATTCTGTGAAATACAAAATTAAATAAAAAATCATAACTTTTTGCGTGAATTTTTTTTTTTGTCATTGAAATCTAAGTTTTGAAAATAACCAGTTGTAACTTTTGTCTAAACAACTAAAACTTTTATTCTGTCGATCGTAAGAATTGAACAAAAAATTATAATTTTTCACATGAACCATTATTTTTTATTTTAAAAGGGGATAATTTAATCATTTAACTTAAAATCATTAATGTTAAAAAGTTACTTAAGAATTTTAGAAGAATTATAATATTTCGAGAGACCTAATTTTCATTTATATATTTTGGTGAGATTTTAATCATTTTCTCTCAAACATACTTAAAATAATTTTTTAAAATTTACTCCTATTAAAAATAAAAAGAGGGAGACACCATAAAGTTAAACTTACAACATGATAAAATTGAAAAATGGGTCAATGGTCATTTTTTTTCCCTTCAACTTTACTCAAATGATCACTAGATATCATAAATTTAACAATGAGTTAATTTTATTCTTTAATGTTAAAGATTTCATTCATTTTCATCTTGACATTAACTCTCTATCTTTTCATCATTAGTAAGTCTTATAATATTTTTTTTATTTGAGTTGAGGTGTTACTAACTTTTTGAGTAAAGTTGAGGGCAAAAATGACCCTTAACTTAAAAAAACATACTTAAAAATGTTAAGACCTATTGATGACAAATTAATGTTAGGCATTTTTAATGTCAGGATAATAAAAAGAAAAATTTTTGATGTCAGCATAATAAGGGAAGGGGAAAAACTTTTAATGCAAATAACTTTGGTGTTAAAGAACAAATAATCTTTCCATAATTTGCAAATAAGTAAGGGATAATGATAGTTAAGTTTTAAAAAAATTAATAACAGTTAAGCCCCTGATAAATATTTTTAAAAAAATTATTATAAATATCGATTCAAATATTTATAAGTTTAAAAATTTTAATTATAAATATGATATTTAAATTTCAAATATAATAATTAGTATGTAATTTAAATTCTTATTTATAATTATTTAAATTCATATTTATAATTTATTTTATAAAAAAATTTATCAAGAATTTAACTGTGATTAATTCATGATTTTGGGGCTCGTCATTCTCCCGAAGAGTAATTAAAACGCCTGCCCGCATCCATTTTATTTGATCGGATGGTTCCACCAAGTTCTTGCACCGAACAGCAAAACCCTCAAAGAAGGATTTTCTTCAAGCTTCAATGTTCAACACTTGATCGTGGCTGCTTGGAGCGAAACCCATGTTTAGATATCTACCTTCGTACGGAAAGAGATTCTAGAATATCATAAATGGCTATACCTTATCCCTCTTATCTTGTATCAACTTCTGCTCGTCTTCAACCTCTGACTGACAAGAATTATATCAGAATCGAACCTCCCTTTCTTCAGGGATTTAAGGTATTTTAGCTACCCACTGTTTAGTTAACTTCTCTACGATTATCTCCGCTTGTAGGGAGAATTATAATGTTGATGCATTTGGAATTTTGGTCCATAAAATGTATTTTGTTCATATTTGGTTCCAAATGGTGATACGGCTTCTGGTTTAGTTTTGTTGTTTACTTCTATAGACATAACTCTGGTGCTCCTGATAGAAGTTTAACGAAAAGTAAGGAATGAGCTTTATATACATGGTATGGTGTGACGTAAACTTCTTGTCTGGCTTCATGCCAAAGCTGATGTAATGAGTTCATATTAGTTTCGTATAATTCCCATTGAATCAGATGAGTTTGTGATGAAGGGTTTCATGAAAGTTGAAGGTAAAGAAAATGCCCAAAAATACTGCCTCGTTTTCTCCACCATGCTAGGATTCAAATCGGAGATTCTCTCTGAGACGAAAATATTGTGACTGTCTATCCTGTAACATGTTTGCAGTATAGGTACCAAAAAAAAAAAAAATCTATTATGCAAAGCCTATGATTTTTTGTTAGTGTCATTGTGTCAATCTACTTCTTTAGTTGTACTCTGATCAGGAAGTCAAGGGAAGGCTATATCAGGAAGCTTTTGAACAGGATCCGAGATTTAATATTTTAGTTTAGTAGATAATTCATGAGAATAACTAACTTGGTTTACTTTTATCGATAATATGACTCCAAAAGTAGTTTTAGTACTAGTGAAGCTGATTTTTCAGTATTGTGTCCATATTCATTCGTATTCTGAGACTTGGCAGTTGTTATCTCTTCCTTTTGAACTTGCAGACTCTTGATGGCTTTAGAATCTCTTAAAACAAGCCATTCGAGTCTATGGCTATAAGTTTTGACTCTAGGTCTTTTCTCCTTCTCATCCTCCTCCTTTCATTCATTCATTCTTCTTCTTGTCTTTATTAAAAAAAAAAATAGGTGAGTAATATAAGTCTTTCCTTGACAGCCTATATTTCTTTTCTATGGCAGAGTACAAATTGGCATGTTAAAAAATTTTGCGGAAAATCAAGATCCAAGCTTTCCTGTGCAATGAATATGTCTGCACAACAGTCTGATGACCATCAGAATGTTAATTTGGACCATTTAATTGCCAAAGCACAAAAACTTTGGGACAAGTGCCCCCAGCCTGTCAAGAATTTCCCATGGAACAGAGCATTGGAGAATTTCATACAACTTATTCTTGATCTTTCTCTTTCTGTTGTAAAATACCTATCTGTGCCTGTGTTGGCGGTTTCCTCCCTCAGTGAGTTGTCATACTGTGCGCATGAAAAGAAGCTATTTTTCGTTCCTGTTCCAGTTCTCTTAGGTTTTACCATTGCTGGGACCTTGGCAGAGACTGCCTTGGATTCGTCTCCACGTTTGAAGGTAAAATTGGTGGTTATGCATCAATCATAATCTGGATTTCTGACAAAATAGTTGATGGAGCATTAAATATCTTTGTCCACAAAAGCTTATAATCCTGTGGCCCTTCATGTTTTTTCTCCTTTCTTCTTTTTACATTGGAAATGTTTTGAAAAAACTGCTTTCTAAGTTGCTAAAGACACAGCACGTTTCTTACCGGCTAATGGATTTCATTTGTGCAAACCTTATCAATGGATGGGTAACATGATAACTGTTATAAAAATTACTAAGCATCTTGTATATATATTAATGGCTTTGAGAATTCAGCTAGATGACTGATCTGGATGTGATGATATGAAACAGAAGTGATATTTTAATCATTAACACTCATACAGAGTAATTAACCTCGCTTATGTACACATCAGTTATAACCTTCTAACTGACTTTAGTTAATACTGGACAGCTTGATGACTGATTCATTTATAGGAGTCTGCCAGGAACTAAGGTGGCATTATTATATTTAAGATCATTGTTGTTTGGTGAGGGGTTTGTTGTAAGCTCATCTCTGATTCGATTTTCAGGCTGCTGAAGTTCCGTGGCATTTGATTGCCATTGCAATTTTGTTCACACTGATTAAGTTGCCAGGCCCATATTATCCCTATTGGGGACGCGTGCTTATTCCACACTTTGCAAATGGGGTTCTTTTGAGGGTTCTCTGGTTTGCAATCTTGTGGTATAGAAGACCTCAGTGAGCATCAAAGACGTCAAATTCTGTTGATGGCAGTCACTAAATCTTCTGAGTACTGAGCTATGATTCCAGCCATCGAAGTATATCAATCAGGTATTTTTACTTGCCACGAGGGAAAAGTTGAAGTAGACTGCTGTAGCAACCAGGCACAACCTATAGTAGTCTAAATCCTATGGATTCTGCACATGTAGCAATAACTTGCTGGATTGATGAGGAAATCTTGTGTAGCTCAAATTACGGCCTAGTGGTATCAAGCTTCTGGTTTTTTTAGCTCCTATATTTTTCTGGATTATTAACTTTCATATGAGTTGGCTTGAAGAGGCATTTTGTTTGCGTTGTTTGAGGAAATTTGAGAAAATTCGTTAATATTCCAATTAGCCTGTCACCCATTTTCCTTGCAGAACTTTCCCTGTTTACCTTCCATTAGGTGACAGGGAAGAGGTTAATTAAGACACTAAGATGAAGTGTCTGTTAATAGGGATTTATTTATTATACACATTCAAATGGCATGAAATTATCTTGAAGATAAAAAATAATCATCATATACCTACGAGGAAAGATCAAAATTATTGAGTCATGAGAGCAGTATACTGCCGGCCCAAGTAAAGCAAGGATATCGGTAACCAGGGAGTGGCTAAGCTTTAATCCTAAGATGTTTGACTGTAATCACTTGCGTTCAAACCTTTGCTCCATCACTTAAAACCGGAATAAGAGGGCAATCAGCTCAAAACGTTAGTGTTCCAAAAGTAACATATTTGGATTTTGTGCTTACAAGTGAATTAACAATATTAGCAATTGAGCCGATTGCACTATAAAAATTATGTTCTATCTGGAGCCGACAATATTCGAATTAGTTATAGTTAATGATACTAAATAACATGGTTGTTGCCAAATATATATATATATATATATATATAATAGCCGCAGAATTTTTGCGGATAATCATTCATGACCATGGGAGAGCTAGAAGTGAGGAACATCAATTCATGAAGCAATAATAATAAAGGAGAAAACATGCCAATTCCAACAGCGGCACATAATAAGGAAATTCAGGATGGGTTCTCTTTTATAAGGGAAACCCAACCATGGAAATCCTTCCTCCAAGGAAGTGAAAGCTTTCTGAACATTTCCCGCACTTTGCTTTCTGAACATTTCCTGCACTTTCTAAACACTTCCCAAATTTTCAACCAGAAGTTAAAAGTCAGAATTACATTGCATAGACTATTTCTCCACTGCTATCAATGTCGAGATCAGGATCAGACTCCAGGTCCTCCTCCATATCATCATCAATATCTAAGCTACCAGTAAGATAGTTGTTGAGAGACTGAGTTCCAGCTGCAGGAATTGTAGCTCAGCAATTATTTGCATGATTTCCTCTATGCTCTGCATTGGCTGATCAGGCTCCTCAAACTGGTTGTTCATTGTACAATGATCATCCATAAGATCAGCCGGAAGGTTCTTTAGAAACCATTCATGGTTTCTGATCTCGGGGATGGTTATCCTCTGTCATTAGGATGATATCAGTTTCCAATTAGAAGATTAATGCCTTTCGTGCAAAACACAAGAAAACACAGCTCAGTTCTTCCAAAGTAGTCTTTGCCTCCAAATTTGAGAGCAATGTTCTAAAAAAGCCAAACCAAAAAAGCTACTAGGTACACGGTCCAACTTTGTGGCGCTAAGCTATAAAAAGAGCATCTATTTGTAATATTTTGATTAAAGAACTTAATAATAACCACTCCAAAGTTGCACCTACATTTTGTCCTTCAAATTGTGATCATGATTAGTTTACAAGCATCAGAACCGGGAAATCTGCTTCTTGAAAACTCGCTGGCCAGAACCGGTTCAGCCATTAAAATGGCTCAAGGAAGGTAACCAAACAGTTCCCACCCAATCTAGTTGAACAACCAACCTCTCGAATCCAGTTTTTAAATCAGAAGGCTGAGTATATAAATAACGAGTGCTTTTTTTTTCATTTCTTATAATAGAATAGAGAAACTGACCTTTGCAGGGTCAGCAACAAATATCCTTGAGATGAGATGCTGGCATTCGGGTGATATATGAACATAGTCAGGAATTGAGTATTGAACATTCAAAATCCTCTGCAAGGAAGATCCAACAGTTAAGGAACACCATTAAGTTTTTAACCAAATTACCAGATTGGCTAAGAAAATGGGTGATGGATTACATGTATTGTCTTGCGGAAATTTTTAGGTTCCTCTGGGTCCTCAAAAGGATACGCACCCACCAACATGACATATAAGGTCACCCCACAAGACCATACATCTGCAATCTGAGTCAAATTTGAGAGATAATATCAGTATAAACTATAAAGTGTCATCAATAAAAAGTACCCACCATTAAAGGAAAAAATACGCATTCTAGCTTCATCATAGGGCACTCAGAGACGAATACAATTACTGATATACCCTTGAGCTTTTCTTTCTACCTTCACATTCCCTTCCAACCAACAAATACAAAGAAATGACAGGAAAAAGAATTATCTATTCTGCATAAGCTAACGGCTTCATAAACAAAAACATCTTAACATAAGATTGAAAATTATGCGAATTCTACAGCCAACGTTAAAAGCGATCAAGTTATGGAAGTCAAGACCTACCTTGCCATCATACTCCTTCTTAAGCAAAACTTCTGGAGCGATATAAGCTGGAGTACCAACTGTCGATTTTGGTTGTGAATGTAGCACAGAGGACTGCATAATCATGACATGTGCATGTGACGAGTTTATATGTCAAAGACACACAGAGATGAAGGAAATTGCTAAACTTGAATAAAAACTACAACAACGATAAACTTCCCAAAATGCATAAATCAAAACAATTATTTTGGCTGCAAAGAAGTTCTGTGACTAAGATGACAAGGTAAGGGTAATGGATAGAGATAAATGCTAAGACATCACAACCCAATTAAGACTGAGGATGGTTGTAGGGTAAGTTATCAGTTAGCCGGCTTGTGTGACATTTATGAAGAAAAAGAGCTATATGAGAAAAAAAATTATACCTTGGAGTACCCAAAATCACATATCTTCAAACGAGGAGCTGGACTACCATCCAGTAGTGTGTTCTCCAACTTCAAGTCTCGGTGGCATACTTGCTTTATGGAAGAAAACAAATAGAGAAATTCAAGTCAGATATCTCACCATGTCTGCATGCACTGAATAAGTTATAGTAAGACAAAGGGACTAAAATTTGTACCATTGCATGACAGTAGCTAACCCCTGAAATAAGTTGCTGGAAAAAGAAACGAGCCTACAGAAGAAAGGAATGAAAATTAGAGATAACTACTGCGGCACAAAACAAATGTTAAAATGCCATAAATAAGAACCTCATCCTCGCTGAAACGCCCAGCATTGCATATTCGTTCAAATAGCTCTCCTCCAGAAGCATATTCCATCACAATAGCCAAATGTGTTGGTGTCAATATGACCTACAGATAGAGTCACATGGTTGCAAGGTAATCAATTCAGATACTTCTAATGCAGGAAAGTAAAACTGATAAGACAGAGAGGAACAGTACAAACCTCCTTGAACCTGACAATATTGGGGTGCCTAAGTGATCTGTGATTTATGATTTCCCTTTGCACATTTTCATCTATCTGTTAAGAAATAAGCATGGTTAACCATGACGAAATCAGGCACAGAAATCAGCTTGCATGCACTTCTACTGAGATTCTAGTAGCATATCAAGTCCTTCAGTGAAGATTACCACCTCGTGGCCACAAATAAATATTGACCACCTTCGATGCATAAAACTGGATTACTTGGCCATCTTAAAGAACGGAGTATTAATCCCCCTGATTGAGATTCTTCACGAGAAGGAAAAAAATTGAGATAAATCTTCTGAGCATATGAATATTTTACCAACCCAATCATGAACTAGCCTACAAACATCACATTTATAAGGAGTCATGTCAGACACGCTTTTATGCCTATCTATTTATGATACAATTTACAGTTGATTTTTATCTGTCTATTTTTGGAGTACCTAGAGCGCAGTGCACAATTTCACCATCAAAATCAATGTCCAAAATTTCACATTGAGAAGGCCATCCCGCGTTTCCAGATATTTGTCCCTTTTTTCATTGGATTACTAACCAAAAATAGAAATAACGTATCACTGTTTACTAACTATAGTCAATTAATTCACATAAAAGGAAATTACCGATAATGATAGAAGCATGAAACACTGAAACTCCAGAGTCATAAAATTTACTAATTACTTCACCCAAAGAGCAGAACAGCCTCAAGCAGAAATACAAGGAGAGGAGAAAAAAGCACTACTATTTTACGCAACCAAACAAAAACTGAAACATCCAATAGAAACATTAATTCTATATCAGGTAATTCTAAAGAGAACCACTAGCCTATCTTCAATTCTAGTTTAGGCAAAAAAACTGATCTTTTAACATCAAAATTTTGTCAACTTTTACTCATTTCGTTTCCATAAAAGCATAATACATCTGACAACATGAAAACATGAGACAAAATTGGAGCGCCAACCTTATCACCCCTCTCTATATACTTCACAGCAACGAGCTCGTCTGTTTGCTTGTCCCTCATGAGCCTCGCGACCCCAAAATTTCCAGACCCAATATCACGCACGAGCTCATAGCGGTCACTGTCGTGCATAATCGGCAAATCCATCCCCGGTCCAACGGTGATCGCCGACCGATCCATTCAAAACTTCAATAGGCCTAACTCTCTCAGCTTATCATCTCAGGACATAAAGAGAAAAACCTGTGTCAGATCGAACACAGAGAGAAGAGTGTGCCTTTGACGTGGCTCGATTAGGACCAATGGATGTGACGGTGGTGGTGGTGGTGGTGGGTGAAGAAAGAGATAAAAGACGGTCACAAGTCCGTGAAGCTTCACCCACCAAGTGAGTATTTGGGGGGTTTTGCTGAGCTTTTTATAAGTTGAGATGGCGGTGAAGGCGATAATATGCTGCTCGTGAATGAAGGAAACCCTTTGCTTCAGTTTTCTTCCTTTCCTAGTCCAACTTACCTTTTTGGTTTTATCCAAACCCTGAGCAAGCAGATATTTTCATCTGGAAAAGCAAAAGATCGTTTCTCCTTTCATTTTTTAATTTCCAGTCTCAGAATCAGTGAAATTTGACTGCGAGGACAGAAATAACCTTGCCCCTGTGACTGGAACTTGGAAGAACAGAAAGATCCCAGGTGGTTTCCTCTAAATGGTCCGATTTCGTGGCTTAAGTTTTAAATCAGTGAGAAGCCAGCCATGGGAAGGAAGGAAAAGTAAAAAGTGAAGGCCAGTGATCTTGTTAGCTAAGCTGAAAAAGCCGGTAATCATGTTGATGTTTTCTTAGAAAAAGGCGCAGAGGTTGGATATGATAATAGAGCAACAGAAGGTCATCCTTAGACCTTAGTCTGTAAGAAACTCAATGGATTTATTTTTTTTAAAAAAAAAAAATCCAATGAATGCATTCAGGTGTTATATCATACTATTATCTCAAATTATGAAATAATTTTTTAAAAAATATCTTAAAATATAAAATAATTTAAAAAAATAAATTTTTATTAATTATATTTTTAATATTATTTCTCAAATGGAGAGAAAATTAAAGGATATTGTAGCATAATTATTCAATGTGTAGTGATATTTTTAAAAGTTTATAATTTTATTTTAAAAAAATGATAATAAAAATTCTTTGAATCATGTAAATGATATTTTAGTTTTTCAAAATGTCATAATTTTTTTGAAGTCTCTTGGGACCATTCCATCATTAAAAAATCAATGTAAATGATAAAATTGCTCTTAATTCAAATATCAATCATCACTCATAAATTTTGTTATAAGATTTATAACTTTCCTTCTTAAGATCACAAGAATTCAACAATAATTTTAAATTTGCATTTAAAATATTGATATTTTTTAAATGTTGCAAATATTAATTGCCATTAATAAGTTTTATTTTAAATTTACAACTTTTTTTTTAAATCACAAGAATTTAATAGCAATTCATAAGTTTGAATGAAGGATAATTTAGTTATTTATATTAATTTCTTAATGATAGAAAAGTCCCTAAAGACTTCAAGAAAATTATGATATTTCAATGGACCAAAATGTATTTATATAATTTAAAGGTATTTTATTGTCATTTAAAAAAACCTGTAAAGTGTCATTATTATATTTTATTTATATGTATAATCTTATCTCAAATTGTTTTATGATTTGAGGGTGAAGGGAATATTATACTTTTTTTGTCCTAAATTTTAAAACACTTTTAAAAGAAATTCAGCATTTCACAATACAAAACACTTTAAAAATATTAAAATTTTATTAATTAAACTTATTTTAATATTATTTTTTTTCTATTTAATTTTTGTCTCTATCTCTTTTCAATATTTTAAATTAAGAATTTTTTAAAATTTATATTTTTATTTTAAAAAATAAAATTGTTACATTATGCCATATTTTATTGGAGAGGAGGGAAAGGAAAAACTTAATAAAAAGGATGAAAAGTAATTGGAGGGAGGGGAGGGGATAAATCCCTTCGATCAGTAGAAGAGAGGTAAAATTTTCTCTCCCCTTCTCCTATTAAATAAGGAAAAGAAAATTATTGAAATTTTTTCTCCTAACCTATTTCTCCCAACTAAATAGAAATAAGTGTATTTAATAAGATTAATTATTTATAAATTTTTATTTAAAATTTTTTTATAATTTAAAATAGAAGGAATATTAATGTATTATATTATATTTATATCTCTATTTTTTGTAACTTCATATTAGCTACAATTAGGTAATAAAATAATAAAAAGACACCAATTTATTCTTTACCATGGCCAATACTATAGGTAATAACAAAATAAATTAAATTATTAAACTATATTAGATATTTCTTGTGTTGTGCTTAAATTTAACATTAAACATTTTGAGATATGTATTGAAAATTATTTTATCGTATTGCGTATTGTTAATACTATGCATTCGTTTTAATGAAGCATTTATTAATGTACTAAAAATAATTTTAATAAAATTTGTTGAGAGAGAACTAAACTTGAAAATTTAAAGTTGTGTGCCCTATGTCACATTGAAGAAAGCAATGCTTAAAAAAAGAGACAAGCGATGGGTTTCATTTAGTAGGGAATAACAGACAATGAGAAAGTGAATGAAAGCTAAATGTTTCATAAAAGATCCCTTTTAATGCAAAGAGAAGACCTTTTAAAAAGGAATCTCTCTTTCCTACTTGTGATGTGTTTTAGTACCAAAATATTCCTATAATATTCTTATGACCTGTTTGGTTCAATTTCATGCACCTATTTTATAAGTAATTTTGATGCAGCTGGCCTATTACTAGCATTTGGTTGGGCTTAGTAATGTAAATGGGATTACATCATGTAATCCTGGTTCCCTTAAATGGTAGCATTTGGATTATATCGTTAGACCATATGAATAAGGATTACAGGATGAGGAAAAGATACCATTGCCCTTGAAAATACACAATCGCTCACCGTCGCTCTTTGCTGAATGAACTTCTCGAACAAGAAGCAAGAGGAAGAAGAAACCTTAGCTGTTGTCATCTACCTTCAGCTCTGCTGCCACACTCCTTTCCTTCACTATCGATGAGACCTCCCTCATCATCAACATTACTGCCATCGTCCACCTTCAAGTCTCATATCGCATCACCTTGTTACTGCTACAACTCAGGCTCGCCATAGTTAATGGAGTGGTGATCTTCATTAGCATCCTCATTCAAGGCTTCAAGCATATCTATTGAAAGCCTGTTGTCACCGCTCATATGTCACAAAACTAAATCTTTATTGCACTCTCATCGTCACCATTGACATCTACTAGATTTGATCCCATTCCTCCATTATTTTTAGCTATTCGAGGTTCCTCCTTCTTGCTACTTCAACATTTTTGATCTGGTTTCTATTTTTTTAATAGCTATTTCAATCAAAAGGAAAAAGTTATTTCAATCGAAAGGAAGAAGGCAAAGGATGAAAAGAGATGGGTTTTTTTTTAGTTAAGGGTAATTCTGTTGTTTTATTTTTATTTGTATTTAATTAAGTTTAAAAAATAAATTGAATTCCATTATTGCCAATCTCATACCAAACAAACTTAGGTTATCCTAATTCTATTACATTCCTTTACATATCTACATTTCCTCTAATTCAGGGAACTAAATAGGCCATTACAATTTCATAAAATAGATTGAATTATTGGATTGTTGTTGGAATTGATTTGGTTGATTCCAAATTATAGTTTAGGCCTTATTAGCATAAATCAAACTCTACTTAAGAATTTATTTAAACTCAACCAAGAAGAATCACACTTAACATCCCACAAGTCCACATAATTTGTCATCTAGTCTAGATTTATTTTAATTAATTAATTAATTAACTCAACCAAGAATAATCACACTTAACATCCCATAAGTCCACATAACTTGTCATCTAGTCTAGATTTGTTTTAATTAATTAATTCATTCACTGCCTTTAACTTTGACTGAAACATTTTAGCTACATCATTTTTTTTATGAGAAAGTTTAGGAGAGTTTGGTCCTATATCTCACCAAAGACAAGGCATGCTTTCAGGCTCAAAAAGTACTTATGGAGGTACTTACATATCATCCACCAATAAAGTCCTCGCATAGGCAGTTGCATCATTTTTAAATGTTAAAAAGATAGCATTCACTCAATTATATCAAAATAAAACTAGATAGGAACATTTTGAAAAGGACAAGGACAACCTTTTTTTTCTTTTTTCATTCCAATAATATATTTTTTGTTATGAATATTAAAATGAGAGTGGATGTCTATCTTCCTTAGCTTTTCAACTTCTCCCTTAAAACTTCACCATTATAAGAGTTGATTATCCTTTATTTACTTTTATCATTTGTATAACTTTTAATGTGTAAGACCGTACCTATAAATAGGGCATGTTATTATTTGTACTGAAAGGTACAATAATATATAAGAAATTCTCTCATTTTCTTATCTCTACTTCTTCTCTTTCTATCTTTCTTTTTTAGTTGCTTAATTTTATAACACATTATTAGCACAAGAACTCTAGTAAACTAAGGGTTCAGTAGTAAGGTTTCTCACTGCAAGGTAATTTTTATGTTCATATATGATTTAATTTATTTTTTAACCATTTCATCCTTTTAATCTTGAATATCATCCAACACTTATCATAATTTTTTCATAATATCTATATGTCAAATATTTCAAAAATTGAGTTTGTGGCTCTTGACATTATTGGAAAAAGTTATCTATCTTACATACTAGATGTAAAAATTCATCTAGATGCTAATAATTTCAGCCCTAAATACGGGTTCAAAGTGAAGTCGAGCCATCTGGGATTCAAAGGAGATAAAGAATTGAAGGAAGGTCATCTATGTCACATATTGCAGCGTTAGGAATATCCACTATAAAGCACAGAGGCAACCAATGAAGGGTGGGCCTCTCTATGTCATGCGTTGCAGTGCACGGCTAAAATATTATTTAAACCAATTCATGTCTGTTTGAAAAATTAGAAGAAAGGAGTGAAGAAAAAAATAGCAACACACCTATTGCTCAGCTAGGGCATGAACTTGGGGACCATTGGAGACATTAGGTAAGTATATTGTGTCCTCCTCTTTCCGTTTTCTTCCATTTTCATGAAGGTTAAAGTTAAGATTTGTGTTAGGAAAGTGATTTTCAGTTTATATGAGCTACTATTCCAAATCCATTGGTTAAAATGGATATAATGTGAGTAGTTTAAAGTGTTCAAACCTCATATTTATGGTTTTATGAGTTGTTAGTTATTAAGGATCATTAATATTCAAAAATGAAATAAATAAGGTTGTTGGAAGTGTTTCATGGCCATTAATGACAATTTAATGGTTCATTAATAACAATGTATGTTGTTAGGGTTTAGTTAACCCATTGGGTATGATTGAGAGTAAATTTATAATTGTGATAAAAGGGAGAATGGGAGGTGGTTGAATGTTAGAAATTTCACATGAAAGGATATTAATAAATTTCCTCATGATGTAATTATAGATTAATTAATTGGCACCATTCAAGCATGAGAAGAAGCTTTGAAAGTTGGCATTTTAAGGGGTAAATTTTTGACCTCTCAAAAGTTTGAGGTAACCGAAAGAAAATCTTATTTGTATAGTTGTATATTAATTATTTGTTAGTTAAATGAAATCATTTAAAATTTATTTGGGTGCTTGAGAATCTATTGATGCAAATGTTGTGATGTGATATATTGTGATGTGAATTTAGTA